ATCTTTATTTTCACTCATTTTTGAACAGCTGTAACTTTTTTCAAATTCTTTGAATTACATTTTTTTTTTTTGGCAATCGAAGCTTAAAGTGCTACCAATCGAACACCATAATGTGTACATCATGTGATTTGTAGCACTGGAGATATATGACGCCAACGACATCTATTGGCAAAATACGAAAAAACTTTTTAGACTACCCAATACATACTTATATATGTAAATATACAAATTGCATGTTTCACACGAATTTCCAATTAGCTACACAGTTTTTACAACTCATTATATTGGGTGTTTTTTTTTTTTTCCTGAATATATTATTACACCTTATTGCTTTTACTTTGCTTTTCTCATGCGATCATTAAGTCGCCGTCATCTTCTGTTAATTTCTTTACTTGCACTCAAAACAATAACCAAATGACTCGCACAAATAAAAACACATGAATTGTGGTTCCATCAGAGCACAAAGCTGGAGGATAACTGGGGGAGGGGAGGTCGCGCCGTTAGCCTGCAGTATTTTTGCTTGTTATCTGTTGCAATTAAATTTAATCACTTGCTCCAATTAGCAGTGCAACTGCGATAATTTCGTATGTTTGCGCTTAACGCAATTATGCGGCTATATCACGGCCGTTCTGAACCACCAACAACCATCAACCGTCGCAGCGAGCCACCCACTGCCCACCGACTCCCCCGCGCGTAAACATCAAATCAAATTACATTGCTAATACGCCACGTTGCGCGCGCCGAGATTCTGTGTGGGAGCTGAGCCAACGCAAACGCATTCGTTGTGCAATTTGCTTGCATTTATTTACCCACTTTATGCTTGTCCCATAAATGGTCGAGCTTCGTGGCTAATGAGTGGCTCCAACTCCAACTACCCGACCTGGACCGAACCCTCCTCATTCCCAGTCGTCTTAGTGTTCGCTCTCTGGTTATGTTTAATGCTTTGCACAATTTTTATTCAGTTGTCCTTTTTCTCCTGTTTTTTTTTTCTCTCTTTGTTTTTGTTGGCTTTATTTTATTCGCGTGCTTCCGACCTGCCACTCAGCTCCAGCCGTGAGTCATGGCAGTGGGGTCTGCCTGCCACGCCCCCTCCCCTTCCGCCTTGTCCCAGCCCAGCTCAGCTGGCAATCCCAGTGCTCTGTTTTAGTGCTTGTGCATTATGAATTTTTTATAATTTCTTGCGTTTTTATTGGTCGTTTATTTGGCTGGTTATGTTTGGGTCGCTTAGTGCGTGTTTTCCTAGCTCCTGTTTGCATTTATTTTTTCCTCCTTTTTATATGTATATAAATTATTTTTTTTTTTTAATTTATGTTCCGTCGCCTGCGAGCGTTTGTAAACAGTTTAGGGCAATATCATTGCAAATGTTTTTATTGGACTGTTGGGACAATTTGCTGCCACACTGATACTGAACACTTTGGACAGGCAGCGGCACAATGTTCATTAAATTACTTTCCTTTAAATCCCAATTGCTTTAAGTTGTAGTTGAATTTGGAGTGAAACTTTTGCTCAGCTCAGCTCAGGGGAAACGTTTGATTATTGAAGCCTATTTAAGCAAAATGCTTGCTAAACCCCTCAATATATACGTTTTGCCATTTATCTTACCTTCACTGGCGAATCTCAGCGTATTGACTTTTGAGCAATTGGGCTTAAGCCCAAAGACC